GCAGAGGTGCTCATCTGGGTGTAAGAAGGAAAACAGCTCAGTCTACGGGGTGAGAACAGAATGGCAGCTATTTGAGAACCTGCTATATATAATGTTAATAAACACAGAAACCAAATTCAAGAATATGCCATGATTGCAATCATATTTTAAAGGAGTTGAATTTATATACCATTAACACATATTTTAGAGTTGAGTGACTTGAAGCGAAACTAAAAGTGACCGCATTTGCAAAACCTCTACAGAATTAAACCTAGTCACAGGAAGGACTTGAACATGAAAGTTATGAAAATTGAAGAAAGAAATTAAAGATCTAGATCAGTGGTTCTCAACCTTTCTAACGCTGTAACCCTTTAATGTCCTCATACTATGGTGACCCCCTAACCATAAAACTATTTTCATTGATAGTACTTCGTAACTGTGATTTCGTTACTATTTGAATTGTAATGTAAATTATGTGTTTTCTGATGGTCTTAGGTAACCCCTGTGAAAGGGTCAATAGACACCTCCACTCCAAAAGGGGTCATAAGCTATAGGCTGAGAACCACCCATCTTGCCATCTTGAAATCCTGTAGGTGCTTTTTACTTATTGAATACACAAATGTTCTGAATCCTGGTGGAATCTCATTTGCATTATGTTGCTGCTGTTGTCTGTGGTTTTGGATTCATAGCTGTGAAACTTGTCAAACCTGTCATGAATGTGTTCTCCAGTGTCTTTTTTTCCTACCTATTGTTTTTAGCTCCTATGCGAAGGTTGCTGGTCTGTTTTAGTATCTTTTACAGTGGTGTGAAGCTAGAGTTCAGCTTCCTTCTTTTGCATGTAGCTGCCCAGTTTTCCCAGCACTATTTATTATCCCTTGCTTTTATGGTTGTTAAAAAATTAACCCTCCATCTAGACTTAGTTCTTGGCTTTATGAGGATCAAGACAACTTATGGGGAGATACTCCATGTTTGTGGATTGGGAGACAATGCTGTTTAGGTTATCAAATGTACCAAAATTATCTTCAGAGCACTATCAAAACTCTAGGAGCCTTTCTTTTCACAGACACAGAAAAGCAAATCCTCAAATTCATACAGAATCGTAGGGGTTCCAGCCAGCCAGAACAATTTGAAAAGGGCCAGAGCTCTGAGGACTCTGCTTCATGACTCTGAAATGCATATAAAGCTAGTTGTCAAAGCAGTGAGGTACCCCCAGAAGCACAAGCATATAGATCAATGGAATGGAGTTGCAGTGGTTTGAATAAGAATGTCCCCATAGGCTCAGATATTTTGAATACTTGATTCTCTAGTAGGTAACACTGTTTGGGGAGCTTAATAGTACAGCCTTGTTGGAGGAAGTGTATTACTGAGGGTGAACTTGGAAAATAAATGCCTTGTGCCACTTTGGATTCACATTCTCTGCTTCCTGCTTGTGCATTTGAAGGTAAGAACTCTCAACTTCCTGCTTTTGCAGCCATGCCTCCTGCCATGATGCAGTCTTCTCCCTCTGGAACAGTAAGCCAAAATAAACCCTTCCTTCCATAAGTTGCCTTGGTCCTCAGAAAGCTAAGAACTAAGTCTAGATGGAGGGTTAATTTTTTAACAACATAAAAGCAAGGGATAATAAATAGTGCTGGGAAAACTGGGCAGCTACATGCAAAAGAAGAAAGCTGAACTCTAGCTTCACACCACTGTAAAAGATACTGAAACAGACCAGCAACCTACACATAGGAGCTAAAAACTATAGGTAGGAAAAAAAGACACTGGAGAACACATTCATGACAGGATTTGACAACAGTTTCACAGCTTTGGATCCAAAACCACAGACAACAGCAGCAATATAAGGCAAATGAAGATTCCAACTGGGTTCGGAACATTTGTGTATTCAAGGATTTCAAGTCATATCTCAGATAGAGATTAATAGAAACCTACAATTCAACAATGGGAAAACAACTCGTTTTAAAGCTTGGCAAAGGATGTAGTCAGCTATTTCTCTATGAAAATACAGAGGTGACCAACAGCATGCTCAGCACCAGCCATAATGGAAAAGCAAACTTTAACTGAAGTAAGGTGGCCCCTTATACAGCAAAGATGGCTGGGGAAGAAATGCAAACAATCAGACATGGTGGATTGAGCCTATAATCTCAGCTCTTGATTATCAGGGCTGCGACAAGAGGTTTGCCCAGGTAGGCCTAGGCTATACAGTGAAACCCTGTCTCAAAAATAGCAAGTGCTAAGAAACTACAGATACACTGAAGTCCTCGTGTACAGCTGCTAAGAGCATGAAGAGGACAGCTGCAACAGAGGCAGCTTGGCAGTGCCCCAGAAAGGACAGACATGGACTAGTGTACAAGCCATTCCCCACTCTGGGATACCTGGGGACATAGCTCCAGAGGGACTAAAATCAGAGTTCAAAGCAGCTCATCATTGACTAGTCCACAGGCTAATCAATGGTGGGAGTGGGGATGACAACAACAATGAACACAGCACAAACACAACAGAGCTGTAACACAGGTGAGACTTAAATGTTCTAGGAAATCCATAGAGGACTCCACTTCAACAAGGATTCCAGGCAAATCACAGAGACAAAGTGCAGAAAATAGGCTATGAGGGAGAATAGGAGAGCTACTGACGGGAGTAGTTTATAAGGAATCATAGAAAGGTCTGGGTGGACATACAAAGTCTGAATACATTTGGTATCATTCTATTATTGGCTTACAAATGGTTAAAATTACAGATCAGTATATTTTAACCATAATTTAAAAAACAAAACAACTTGAAAGAGAGTGTAGATACCACATACCTGTAATCCCAGCACTTTGGAGACTGAAGCAGGGGTTTTAGAGCTGGGTTCAACCTGGGCTACACAGTGATCCCTGTCTCTTCAAAACAATGTGCATGGGAACATCGTTATACATTTTAAAAGATAGGAAATCAGAAGCTCAAATGTCAGCAACTGTTGTTTTATGAAAAGTCTTTAGGTAGTCCTTCCTTTCAACTACTTTTCTGTAATTTCAAAGTCTTTTATTTAAATTGAAACTTCAAGTAGAGAAGAATAAGTTTTATCTTAAACATTTTTTAGGATTTGACCATATTAGGGTCCACATACATATGCTTCACTTTTTTCTTTCTAAACAGAGATTTCCTCACATTAATTTTTACAAGAACAGCAAAGGGAAGGAAATGACCACTGAAAATGATGCAGATGAGTTCTTAAAAACAGCCTGGCACAGGGCTCCAGGACTCCATCCACAAGGAACAGGCCTACCCTCTGCAATGGGGCCTTTGGGTATGGGAGGAAAGAGCTCAGACACCTACCCCTCTGATGACAATTTCCTCTGGCAATATGAGAAAGTTCATAATCTGACTTCCAGCCAATACATTAAACCAGGAAGGATGATTTACAAACAAGTGAGACTCTCCCCCTGGTTGTCAGAGCTGCAAGTGTTTTTGAAGTGCCCTTAGGCTCCTGAAGGCCTGTCCTCGAAGGAAGTGAGCTGATGCTGTTGGGGTTTATGCAGGACTCCAAAAAACTCGCTCTCCCCTTTCTGACAAGTAAATAAAATGGCAGTGAGATCAAATAACTCACTAAAAAGGAGATATAATTTTTTATCTTCCTTTTTACAGTCTCATATCCACTTCCGTTAGGAATAACGAAGTCTGAATTCTTATGCAACACTTATCTAAATGTGTCGATTTTATCAGATTGATGAATTTTGCTAACAAAAGGCAGTGCAAGGAAATCTTTTATGACATATATGGCCCATTCACAAGGCTGAAGCTTTAATTTAACCAACTTGAGCATTCTGAGGGAGAGCTGCAGGTGCTGGATTGGGAAAAAAAAATCATAAATGGGAAGGCATATCAATCTTTATGACAGGGAAACAAAAACACTCTCTACTTGCTTGCCCTCCACAGGCTGGAGAAGGAGAGGCAAGGAAGAGGATATTGTCTCAGGCAGCATAGCAGAGAGGAGGCAGCCCTGTCTCCCAGTGACGACTCTTCAGAACTGACCCAAAGGAGATGGCCAGAGAGGGAGAGACAGCCATTGAACAATGAGGCCCGCCAGCTCTGTGTGCTCAACAAGGATATTAACTCATTTTCTTGGCCACATCAGAATTAGAAAGTTCTGTGGCCCCCAGGTAGCTTATAGCCCTGTGGTCTCCACCTCTCACTTCTTATCTTTGCACCTAGTTCTGATACCTTGCTTCCCTGACAACAATCAGAGGCAACCGTGGTCTCCTACATCTCCCCTTCTCCCTCCTGCATTACAGATACCTCTTCTCTCCCTGAGAAAAGCCCACAACCCACTGACCCACATCCTATTTCTTCTCCCTGTGGCCCAATTTCACCAACCAGGCCATCTTTCCTGCGGCCAATGACAGCCCAATATGAAACCTCATTTGATTACTCCCTGTTCAGTGTTCTCTAGGAACAAGCCAATTCTCACAAGATAAGAGTGGCAGAGGCTCTGGCTGCCAACAATAGCAGTCACCTGTCTGCAGTCACCCTTTTGCAAGGGTCTATGATCTTTGTCCTGAGTTGACAGTGGAGCTGTAGAGAAACAGGTGGCTGGAGAACATGACACCCAGGCTCCAGTGCTGAGGCCTGGCCATGACAAGGGCAGGACTGAGTCATTATGGAGCAACACACAGGGGGCCCTGGACTAGGTTCCCAGACCTATCAAGATAGCTCACACATCTGAGCTATAAAGTGCAGCACCTGTACCTGGCCCTCAGCATACACACAGGGGCACATACCACGGGTCAGAAGTGGCAGGATAGAGACTGCTCACCAAAGAAGCAGTCTTCTACCTCTGGCACTCCCACAAGTGAGGGTACCCCATTTCCATATGCTCTAGTACTTTCTGGAATCTTAACAGCATGCTATCCTTGCGTCAGCTTCATGCAGCCACAGCTGTGTCAATAGGGAACAGTCCGCTCACCAGGATGTGGGGCCGATCTGCCAACCCAGAGTGTTAAATGAGAAGTCACTTACACATGAACTGTCATTAGCAAACCTACTTGGTGTTCTCAAGAGTCTTCTGCATTTTCTTGGTCATTTTGTCAATTGCTGCCTGCCTCTTCCCTTCTGCTAACAGGTCTATCTTGTTCAGCACCACAACCAGCTTCTGGCAGGCAATCTGGCCAATCACAAGGCACTCTGCGGACTGTGTCTGCATTCCCTTGGTCACATCAATCACGAGCATCATCAGATCAATGATCTGGGCACCTGGGACAATAAAAGGTAAGGTTAGGAGACATGTTGGCTTAGAGAGCCTCACAGGAAGTTACCATGCCCAGTCCCAGCAAAGCACTGCAATCATAGGCAGACGGGGAGGAGTACTGTAGAACTTCTGGCCAGTCCCATGAGAATGCTGACTGGCATAAGCTCATCAAGCCAAAAGAGCTCCAGGAGAGGTGAGGAAGCTGAGGGTCTTCTCGGGGTCCTGTGGCTGTTGCACAGCAGGACTGAGTTTAGGTAAAGGATGCCTGGATCCAGAGCCCCCCACCTCTCTGCTGTACCACTGCTCTCATTTTCATTTCACCCAATAAGGGGGGATGCAGGAAAAGTGTGAATACCTAGCTACCTGCTCTTACTAAGAAAGACAGCAAGACTTAAAAAATACAAGCCACCATCAATGTATGAGGGATTAGAGATGCAGAGCACTTCATCCCAAAATACCTGGGTTGCCTTAAGACTGATGCTCACCATCTACTAACTTTGATCCTATGCTCTGTTTATGGAGCTTCTGCTCTTTCTAGGAGGTTGATGCACACAGAACTGCTGTACGCACAACTGGCTGTGTATACATGTACAGTATGCCTGAGCTGAACAATGGCAGGTGCTCATATGACAGGGCAGTCAGTGAAGAGAAAGTAACAGCCACTATGTTAGAAGCACAGGTGTTAAAAAGATGAATGACCACTGTAGTAATATTTCATTTGTATTTTTCCTTTTCTTTTTTTAAATTTATTTATTTATTTATTTATTAAAGATTTCTGTCTCTTCCCCACCGCCGCCTCCCCTTTCCCTCCCTCTCCCCCAACCAAGT